CCCCATGACTGACACAGAATGGAAAAGCTTTCATCCAGCAGTCGATTAACAAAGGGCTTACATACTAAATTTATATAATTAGATCTCACCCTGTGGTGAAAGTGGAAACGTTCAATCACAGTGGGTCTCAGAACAAAGAAAGCACAACTCAAAATTATGCATAAGACATGTAAGAAAAATGACATACGTTATGTGTACAATTATGGGTGACGTATACACATTCTACTTGGATCACAAGGAAACACCGATGACGAAATCACTTGGAATGCCCCCAATTTCATCAGATCCCAAAATCTAAGCAGGCTAGAGCCTCAATAAGGATTTCTTATGGATTATTTCCATGGATAAACATTGTGTTTTAGGCTGCGGAAATACGTTGTCGGCAGCAGAGTAAAATCCATTGTTGTATTATACCTCCATGCTCCCTTGACTATGCTCCCTGCTCATCAATGACCAGCATGGTGAAGTACTGTGGGCCGTACGGAGTGGGCAGGCGCTCATCCAGCAGTGGATTGACAAACGGGCTGTACACGCACATCGAGAGATAATTGTGATGATACGTCTAGTCCGTAAATATATTATTTACAGGATTTTATCTGTAAAACATTTTTGCAACTTGGTAGTTTGGACTGTGTTATCTTAACGAGTCAACAGAGTGTGACGTTAAATTATTAACGCAACACATTCTGTTTACCGTGGGCTAGACGGCCTTTAAGTGCCAGATGTGTCAGTGATTTCTCGCATTGCCACTCTCTGCCAAAATATGTACTGTACTTGTTGTTGAAACGCCAACACACGGGACTTTTACAATTAAACAAAAGATGCTGAAACAAGAAAGAACTGTGCAACTGATTGCCAGCGAGCTGGGTCATACTTGGTAAAACAAACGAGTATGGCCAGTTTGCTGTGCTCTTGGTTGTTTTTTTTTTAACCAACACTTATGTAAACACGTTTGTAATCATCAGCCATGATCTATCCGATGCTTCATGAAAGCATCTCCAAGCCGTAGCCCATCTCTTACGGTCTCACGATGCAACGATCCAGCTACTCGTTCCATCTCCGCGGTGGGTGAACTCTCGGTTGAATTAACGGATCCGGCTGTCATTCCGTCGTTAGTCTCTACCCTTGGCCATCATCCCTTTTGAGTAAAATGTATGCCCAGCTTTCTGTGAGTGACCACACGCCTTACGTCTCAAGACTCTCATGACAAGAAGATGGCTTTGGGAGGCGCTTTGATTTTTTTTTAAAATTAGCTCTTTTTCCCATCACAAGCTTCCCATGCCTCTGTGAAAAGAGCTTTGCCACTGGATCTGTCTGAGAATACCGTAGTTACTTTTCTACGACTATGTATTTATAACCTACTGCTGGATGCTGGATGAACGCCACCCTACGCCTTTCGGTCAAATGGGTTCCTTGTTCAAACTGCAACCACGCTGGTCCACACTGGTAAGAGGGAAGTGCTAACACCGGTTTGTATATAACTCGCCACTGATGTGAGCCGTGGCTTGACATCGAACTCAGGTCACCGGTTTCATCACGTAATGCACAGGCCACTGTGCCACTGCGCGCCCGCATTTACTTTCATAGACTGATGTTTACACGCGAATTCCTTACTCGCCAGTCTGGTCACCTTATGACAGCCTCGCACATTCTCCAATTACCATTTTAAATTATGCCATAACAGTCAAGTGTATTTAACGCGTGTTTTCCCCTCTTTTCATATTTTATGTGGAGCTATGTACGTCCCCAAACTTCACAAATCTGTCCTCTCCGTTGTCAACCAACCTGCACTGACCATCACAGTGAAGTATGGTCAAATAACCCCCGCGACCCACCTCGTGTGGGGAGGCCCTCAAACATTGTTGAATTGACCACATCTTCGTATTGTACATAACACAATCCAAAAAAAATCTAATTGGGATCAAATACATTTTATTTTCCAGATAAGGCCCACGAAGCTATTCAGATATTTTTCAAGAGACCTGGCCAAAAAATCATAGCTCTACGAAGTGGCTTATCACGTGGAAATGTAAAACAGCCAAAAACTCGAAACGCATGTTTATGAATATGCAGGGGAAAACTGAAGGACCGGGAGAAAAATCCACACAACTACGGGGAGAACATGCAAACTCCAAATATACAGCAGGTGTCAGGGTCGGGATCGAACCCACGACCTCCTGTATACCTGGCGAGGTAGTTAACGTCTCGCCACCGTGGGGCCAATTAATCCGAGGTTGGCGTGAGATTGGTTCACGATGCTAGTGGTAGGTAGGGTTACGCCTTGATGGTGGATTAAGTTACGAATTAAGTTAAGTAAAATGTATTATTTGGTTCTTTCGGTAAAATCACGTAGATATAAAAAAATTATGATGAAAATAAAGTTAATAAAGATATCACGACGTTTCGATCGCAACACAAGCGGTCGTCATCACGAAAAGGAGTTAGCCTCTAAAGGCAAACTGTTTATAAAGGTTTGGGGATGGGCGTAGCCCAAGTGTATCAGCAGCACTAGGAGCATGGGCGGTGCAGCAATGCCAATGCCGCAACAATGTCAATGCAGCAACAATGTCAATGCAGCAACAATGTCAATGCAACAGCAATGTCAATGCAACAGCAATGTCAATGCAGCAACAATGTCAATGCAACAGCAATGTCAATGCAACAGCAATGTCAATGCAGCAACAATGTCAATGCAGCGGCAATGCCAATGCAGCAAATGGCCTCCAATAAATTCCTGCACCCCGCTCCACACACCACACTGCTGACGGTGGAGGTTGATTGACAAGAAAACACAAGTCAAGTCATGACCCATAGTGGTTGATGACATCTTTCCAATGATTGCTGAGTCTATAACCTTCCTCTCGGTTTAAATGATCTCTGTGTCTGTATATATGGATGACTTCATGAACGAATCTTTGTTGATAGCCAGTAGGCTTGCAAAGTACCATCGTCTTCGAGAAATCAATTTCGTGTGAGCCAGCCGCATTAAAATAATGATCAGCCACGGCAGAAGTATTGGTCCGACCGTGTTTCAAATCTGCCTTATGTTCACGAACACGGTCCGAGACATGTCGCTTAGTTTCCCCAATATAACTGCTGCCGCAGATACAGCTTAGTTTGTAGACGCCAGGATATTGCATGTCAGGAATCTTGTCCTTGACAGATGGGATCAGATCACAAATTTTATGTACTGTGTTAAATCGGGCCTGGATCTTGTGTTTATTTATGATTTTGGAAATATTTTTGGTTACCCCTGATATGTATTGCAGGGTGATGGTTTTGATTGGATCCTCAGATGCCTCCTTCCTCACGGTTGGGGTGATGGCTTTGCAGATTGTGTAGTCAGAATATCCATTCGCCTTGAGAGCTTGGTGTATGTTTTTGAGTTCACTGGTTAGGTGTTCATGGTCGGAGATACATTGGGCTATATGGTGTAGTGTTTTTATGAAGGAATTCTTCTGGGATGGATGGTGGTGGGAATCAGATTTTAGGTAGGCGTCAGTATGGATAACTTTCCTGTAGACAGAATGGCTCATTGAGCCATCTGGTCTCTTTTTGATTAGGACCTTTATAAACAGTTTGCCTTTAGAGGCTAACTCCTTTTTCTGATGACGACTGCTTGTGTTGCGATCGAAACGTCGTGATATTTTTATTAACTTTATTATTATTATTTTGTATATCTACGTGACTTTTACCGAAAGAACCAAAGAATATTAATTCCTGCAGTCACGAAAGTTTAAAGTCAAAATTTCAGGAATATGTTCATTGTGATATACTGTAATCACAATGATCAAACATTTGTTATTTGTCAATGTAGTTAAATGAAGCCAAGATGAGTCATGTAAAAACAAATCTTCCTATAAATGTGGGTTATCGGGTTTTGTCAAACCGCCTGCACTTCACTGAATGGGTTCCCGCGTGGTTGAATGAATGGGTGCTCAAGATCCTACAGCTGACAGTAAAATATTAAGGTGGGGTCCCTCAGGGTCACTAACGTCTTAAGACAAATTTACAAAACCATTGTGCTTACAATTTATTTAAACAATTTGTTACGTCTCAATTTCATTTTTCGATTTAAAGCTTTCGTGACTGCAGGGATTCATCTTCTTGGTTCGTTCGGTAAAGTCACGTAGAAAAGAAATAATAAGATAATTAAAATAAAACATAATAAAATAAAATGCTCACGTTTCGGCCACAATTTTAGTTTTTTTTTTAATCAGTTTACTATACGGTATTCATTATATAGTGTAGTGTATACCCAGTTACTTTATGTTAATAGCTCAGCTTATTGGAGATATATTGAGTACATTGACTATATATTGATGTAGTTTATATTTAGTTCTTTCACATCGGTTTATTGTATGATAGTTGGGTAGTTGCAGTTATTTAGCGTCAATATACTAAATGTCTCTGTTGATATGTTACATGCTAATTTCTGACTTTAACATCCTAATAATCTATCACATTAACACAGCTAATTCAATGCTAAATTCTTCTGTTGACATGTAAACTCCTTTGTCAAGGCGCTCTGCTCCTCCCACACAGCTTATAATACGCTGCCAAGCTAAGCAGTGTTCATTGGAGCGCTGTCTTTCCGACAGTTATGTTTATTCACCTGAGGAAGGCTACTTGTGTTGTGGCCGAAACATCGTGATAATTTTATTTTATTACGTTTTATTTGCATTATTTTGTCTCAATTTTACTTTATAGGACTTTCCTACGCTGAAATACACGTTTAATTTATTAAATAAACAAAAACTGTTGACCCATGTATTGCATAAAGTGTCCTATCGGTGGGACACGTCTCCAGCGAAGGTCATCGCGGCCGTCGTGACCCCCCCTCGGGGACCCCCACGACCTTCACGTGAGCGCCCACCCACACTGCGGCCCTTGCGGCCGGTGAAGCCCACCTTTTAAAATCGTACAACTAAAGCGCAACCTGCGCTCTCCTTATTGGCCAACGTCTCGTTCACGTGACCCCCCCCACCACCCGGGCCCGCCCGTCGCCATTGAACAGCCGTGGCTCGAGGCGACACCCCTATGCGGTGTACGATTTGTAACGGGAGGCGGGAGTCGGACCGAGCCTCTCTCTGCTCGACATGGCGCAGCGCGTGCCCGGCTTTGCCACCGCTGCTGCTGCCGCCGCCGCCACCACCGCCACGTGCCGCTGACCTCCTCGGCCCTCGCTGCCTCTTCGTCGCTCCCTCCTGCGTACCCCGGCAACCTCCGGCAACAGGGCGGGGTACCCCATGATGGCGGCAGAAGCTGTGGTGGCTGCGGCCACTGTGATGGCTAATGGGGGAGGCCTGCACCACGGGGCCACGCTGCTGGCTTCTTCGTCGCCGCCTCCTCCGGCGGGGGCCTCGCTGATGAGCTCTCCTCCGGCGGGGGTCTCCATGTCGGGGTCTTCTCTCGCGGGCTCCTCGCTCATGGGCTCGGCTCTGTCGGGGTCACTTCTGTCGGGACACGCTTTCCCTGGGTCGCCTCTCGCCGGGCGCCCTTTGTCCGGCTCCGCTTTCACGCCGCCCACGAACTATGTGCCCACCTCATCAGGAGCTTCTCTGCCGGGCCTCTCCAAATGTGCAGCCGCTCCGTCCGGGTCCTCGGTGCCTGGGCTTCCACTCGCGCATCCCGCAACCTCCTCCCGCCAGCCCATCAGCCCCACGTCCGCCGGCATCGCCCCTGCAGCGCCGCCCTCGTCACTGCGCGGGCCGCCTCGTCCACCGGCGCCCGGCTTCTCGGTCCCGCGACACGGCAAGCAGGCCGCGGCGAGCAACGGGTGGGTGAGCCCGCCAGGACCTGCTCCTCCTCATCATCATCATCCTCCTCCTCCTCCTGCTGCTTCTGCTGCAGCTGCCGCCGATGCCAACGCGAACCCGGTAGGTGAACCATTTCAGCCACCGCCCAATGCCAAAAAAAATCAAATCCCGGTCGGCCATGAAATTAATGAGAAGATGTGGCCTTTTTAAGTGCTTAATAGATGCATATCGTTAGCGTATGTCGGGGGCTGGCAATTCCTGTGGTTAGCGTAATGTGCTACGAACCCTGTAACCGGAGTTCTATTTCCGACCACGGCCTTCATTCACCAACCCAGCACTCGCCGGCGTGGCCAAGAAGAGTAAAACGTGCTCCTCATTCACACGGCGCGGTGAGGCCCTCATCCAGCAGTGGATTGAAAAAGAGACGTCCACTTATGATCCTTCACGGTCCGTCTATGTCAATGCGCACGTGATACTGATAGCGTCCGACTGTAATCCTAACCATTGCAGGACTATATTATTGGCCTCGCTGGCCCAATTTGTCTTGTTGTAACTGATCATTGATCATCCGGAACAATTGCAGTGATTTAACAATACAATTTTGGAGTTGAGAGAACGTGCAAATGCTGATCGAAATGGGAATTGGCGCTGTCGCAGCTAAATCAACTTTTGTCAACATTGGACGTCATCAGCGATTTGGTCAATCATTTTCAGAATGAACAGGAATTCAATTTCCAACCTATAACGGAGTGCAAGGCAAGCGATTCATTTAGCTCGCTGGTGGTTTTAGGAAGCCCTGTGGTGAGGAAGTTTGTACGAGGCCGTGATGTGGACTGTTCCTAACGAGAGTAGGATAAGGGGCGGGGGGGGGGAGACGTTGGCACCAAGTATGTGGCAGACGTGGAGAGCAAGTGACAGAGTGGCTCAATTCCTGGTGAAGGCTAACATCCGTGGCGAGTGTTGTCTGAACTGCTCCTGGGGTTTACCCTCCCGTTCGCCAAACCCCCCACAAAGCGGCAGGGTGATGTATGGTCAACGAGCCCCCATTGAATTTTGATTTAAAGCTTTCGTGACTGCAGGGATTCATATTCTTGGTTCTTTCGGTAAGGTCACGTAGAAGGGAAACAATAAAATAATATTGTTTTATATTTGTATTATTTACCGAAAGAACCAAGAATATGAGCTCCCATTGATCAACACTGCCTGAGGAGGACTTAATTCACACAGCAATGGGTTGCCAGAGGGCTGTAAAATAAGTTATTTTAAATATGACATTGAAGACGTGCCATGTGTTTGTTGGACTTCGTTCGCATCGTACGTCGCTAACTGCGCTAATCAGTGGTGGGGCTCTAAAAAAAAGACTTTATGGAAATTATGTTTAATTTATATATTTTGCTGGAATTGTTGCAGGTGACCAGCCAACTGTCTTTCTTCAAGAAGTCTCCCTATCAAATCGAGACCTTCCTGGGCAGCGTGAGGCCATTTCTTGGAAGGAGCTGTGGTATCTGCACTCCCAGAAGCAGGGTAACCTCACCCACATGGGATATTTCATTCAGAACACTTCTCTATTCCGCTTGGATTTACACCTCTGTCTCGGACAAAAGGATAATGCACTTCTTTTAAGCGACACTGCATGCATGATTTATACATTCAGAAGTACGCACATGGTTTCATAATACTGGCAAGGCTTCCCCTTCCATATATATAAATGAAGATTGCACATGTACACACGGCACATTTCAAGCACCGTGTGTTTGTTAGTATGCTGACAAGGAGCGGTGGTACTTCAGGTGAGCACACTGCAGTATGACCCTGACGACTTGAGTTTGATTCCTCCCTCCTCACCCGCACCGACCAGCGTGCCGTAGTTGTCAAACAGACGCCATGAACAACACGGCATGGGGAAGGAGGCCGGGGGGGGAGGCCTTTACCCAGCAATAAATCGAGAAAAAGGCTGTAAAATATTCTTCATTATTACATGGAAGGGCACTCGGACCGTGTAAAGAGGGTGTGCATCTTTTAGCGATTGTTAGATTGAGAACTATTAAGGGTGTGGTATTTCATTAAATCTGACTCACAGTTTGTATTTCCGAATATGGGGCATACACGTGCTGGCTTCCATGCACGTATTCTTAAGGGAACCACATGTGTGCACCTGGTGAATGAGTCAAGAATAGGCAGGTGCGCCTACAGAACCGCCTCAAATGGATCATCATCTCCGACTGATGATGCCGTTAGTCCACGGTGGTCCTGCTCAGATTCTGTTTGGCGTAGCACCATTGCATGAATTGCTACAATCCCACGCGTGCTCAAAATCCTTTTTTTACAACAGTAACAAAAGGCTTTTAGTTCGCCCCCTACATAGATTAATCTTGGCTCGTTCTCTGGAAAGTTTTATCAGCTTACTGCTGGTGAATGTGCAATTCATTAATGTGAATGGTCTAGTGAAAGTTCCTTCGTGCGCAATTTGTGTGGAGCGGTGGTTGGATGGTTAATGCACTACGCTTTGAACCCAGCCAGCTACCCGAGTTCGATTCCCGGCCCCGGCTAACATCGGTGGCGAGTGGTTTGAACTGGTCCTGGGTCATTCTCCCCTCTCCTCCGGTTCTCTAAGACATACTAAGCAGAGTGGCGTAATATGCTCGGGCATATTACGCCACTCGGAATATTTATTTATCAGAATCTTTATTTAGACTGGAGGAATCCGATGAGCTATGAAGCTCTTTTCAACAGATGTCCAGATTGACTTGGCGTAAAGAGGCCTTCATTCAGCAGTGGTTTCATAAAGGTCTGAATGTTACTTGCCGAGCGTAATGGTACCTTATACCATGCACTATGTATATACACTTCCAAGCATATAACTATTAATTCCTGGATTAAACTTTATTACTATGCTGACAATACAAGCATCAAATATGTGTAAAAATATCACGCTTCATAATTTGTCAGTTGCGTGCAAATTATTAGACTTGCGTTACGTTTAGACTAATAGAACGAGTAAAAGTGTACAAACAAGACGTAGCAAACGATACATACACTCTATACTTCCATTTACGTGTGGCCCCGAATTATGACAGTTGCATCGATTAGCCCTGGAGCGGGGGGGGGGGGTAGTCAATGGTACTTTCATGGACTGCCTATAGCGCCTGAGGTTCCTCTTCAGTTGCTCGCAGCTGAGTTTGGTGTGGAGTTTGAAACTAATCCGTAGATTTGGCGTCTTGCTGCAGTGTATAAATAGCTTTGATTTCCATCACTTTTAATCTTTGAAGTACATGGGCTTAATAGCTGTGATACAGTTTCCCAGATGCTACCTTTCAATGTAATAATAACCTAGCCGCATGTCACAAGACTGCTGTTAAGTACAGTAGGGCAAGTCCTCGCCTAACTTGTTTTCGCATAACGCATTTTCGCTGTAATGACACGGGTTCTTCTTCTCGAACACTTTTCGCGGAACGCGCGTCATTATAACGCAGAACGCGCACCGTTATGACGTATTTTCCGAGCGTTCGGCGATGGGCTAATTTCCTGAGCTGCGCGACTCAGTGGTATGATACGGTACACGAAATGATACCGTACGCAGCATACCGTCATCTCAGTTCTGTCCCACTGTGGGATGACTGCAGGCTGATTTTATAGTACAAATATGATTCAGTAGAAGTAATTCCCCAGTTTAATGCATCACTTTTCACGAAAGCATCTACCATGTGAAATGAGGAATGTGTGTATATAGTTTTATGCATTGTGGTAATTTTTTAAAATATAATAATTTACATCCTTTTGTCAAACCATTGCTGGATGAAGGGCTACCACATTCAGTCATGAGAGTTGTTTGACCATACTTCACCAGCGCAGGTTGGTGAAGGGGGTTCGAAAAGATATTACTCGCCACTGAGCTGAACTCAGCTTGCAGGGTTCATTCATGCAGTACGCTTGCTACTGCGCCACTGCTTGTCCTGTGCATTGCAATACAGTTGCAGAAAAAATACTTCTAGATTATTTAACACGGCTATTGATTAAAGGCAGAAGGTGGATATTTGTGCTGCCGTCGACAAACCCCCCCCCCCAACTTGTTACGATTTATATTTAATGCTTATTGAATTGTAAATATGTTCAATGGTGCAGAGAGTTGAATTTTGTTCTCGGGCTCATACATTTTTCAAAAGCGCTGCGTTGCTTTCAAGTCAATGTAACGTGGGCAGCGGGAGCTTTGGCGATAGCAATTTACCATCAGATGGTCTTGCACTGCCAAGTCGAAGGAACAAGTCGTAGAGGCAAGAGGTGGATCGTCGGCGTATTGAAGGGACTTCAAAGATAAATAATATCGCTGTACAGGAAGCGATCGCCATGACTGGAGAAACGACGGAGTTGTAGACGTTTGTCCAGCCTCATCGTTCGTTGCCATCTGACGACCGACGAAAGAGTAGGGAGAGACGCGAGTGGTAGATAATCTTTGTTGAGTCTGACTGCCAGGTGTTGGCCGCTTCGACCACGGGGTTAACAGGAGATGGAAATACTGTTATAGATTATTTAATCTATCTGCGCGGAGCTTTGAGTGTCACCCCCTCTCATGTGTGGTTAGTCCAGTTTCCAGCCACATGTCAAACACTCACTTAGGGAATTGCCCAAATATCCCATTGCAAGAGTCGTGAGACAGGGTGAGGTTTTCCAGGATGAAGGCCATTATTATTTTTATTCAAGTATGTCATAACAGAAGTAAGGCGACAAGTTTTCAAATAAGCTTCTGGCACTTAGCTAATCAGCTTTTGGCCTGGAATTTTATACTTGTGCTATTGTACCTTCATGAACATTAATCTACTGGGTCTTAACATTCTTCTGTGAATTATGTTAAGGGCTTGCAATGTAGTTCGAGCCTTTTATTTTATTAATAAATGTGACATTCTATTGTGCAAGTTTGTAAGTGGTAAAGCTCCCATCTAGTAAGTATGCATGTGACAGGAATGGCTCAATGTAGATAATTTCTTATGGGATTGCTAATTATGCACACGCGTGTATAGGCTTTTTTAATCCCCTACGTTCAATGTAAAACTCATTTTGTCAATGGGCTGGACAAGGGCCCCTCTTTACAGTGCAAATTGTATGGGTTATTTGACCATACCTTGTCGGCTGGTCATCGTGGGTTGGTGAATCTGCACAATGGGCGTTGCGGGCTGGTGAAGGTGGAGAGCATACATGTCGGAACATTATACAATACAACATTGGTTATCGCTGTATGCACATAAAGCATGTAGTAATTCACCCCACCAAAGGCGATGATTAGTTGTCATGAATCGGGGTCAGGAATCAATTATTTGTTTCGTTTGCAGTGTCTTGTGTTTACTGTCCATTGCATTTGTATAATCTCTCATGTTATGCCTCACGTGTTTATCCTAAACGTTAAACAAGCATAGTCCCTTTGTCAAGCGACTGCTGGATGAAGTCCTCCCCATGCCATGTGGGTCATGAGCGATATGTGCCCCACCCATCATAAGCTCCTCCTGATTATATCTACATAAGAATTAGAATATTTGATTACAATCCTAAATTAGACTGGAGGAATCTGATGAGCTATGATGCTTCCTTTTACTAAATCCAGTAGGAGCAGGTCAGCTGTTTACAACAACAAACAATATACTTCTCGAGGCATTCTATTCTGGCCTTTTTGTAATGCGTATAAATTCCGAATTGATTCGTAGGTGCATGATCTGATGAATGTCTCTTGAATGTAAGAATTATTATTGAATCGTGAAATTTCCCGTGAAAAATAGCAGCAAGGTAATTTTTTTGTACGACTGTCTTTCTCAGTAATTCACCAGGTTGCGTTGTAGCCTTGTATTTGATCTGCATAGGATCCACTCGGGATGAAGCTGTTGAAAGGCACTACTGTATTAGTGTTTGGATGATAACGATGATTGTGGTGAAATATGTACATTCTCCCATCAACGCCAATGTCCAAATTTACCCGGAAGGCACTCGATCTCTACAGATCCTGGGAGCTAAGCAGGATGGAGCCTGTTTAATGCTTGATTTGGTGTCCACAAAATGCACAAAAGGGTTGTCATAGGGCAGCAGGTGCTATGTCGTGAGCAGTGGAGTGTAGCGCAGAAAAAAAATCACTGCTGTACTTTACTCCTTGGTCTATTATCCCCACCATGACCGGCACGTGCCGAATTATGGTCAGATGAAGACCCCCCCCCCCCCCACGCAATGCGGGTTTGTGGGGAGGCCCTTGTCCAGCAGTGGATTGACAAAAGGGCAGGATTTTGTACTGACAGTCTGCGTGCGTCTGGTTTTATTTGTTCGTTTTAGGAGATGTATTTCACGTCTTCCATCCCAGCGTTGGGTTTAAGAAACGTCATCTTTGTGAATGAGACTCACACCAGGTAAACAAAGCACACACTCCTCATCCCTTGCGAATGAGTCTCTAATGCCTCACGGAGGAATGCGGCGACCCTAGCTGGGCCAGTGATGACAAACTCTTTCAACCACAGGAATGTACTTTAAAGAAAAAAACATTAAATTACTTTTTTTAATCGAGTGTGGTGTTTGTGCTCAGGACAGACTTGCCATCTCTTTATAAGTAACCGATTACTGAATTCAGATTATATTTTTACATTCCATATTCATCTGAAAACGATGGTCAGAAATCTATTTTATATGATTATTCAGTGTACAATGTGATTTATTGAGTTTCATCTAAAAAGGCTTTTAAAGAAAAAAATGACGCTTTGCAAATTAGTTTGAAAGCGTTCATCCATTATTTCTTTATATTTGTCCATGTACAGTGGGGTTTCGCAGATGACTGGGTTAATGAGATAACACTCAGAAAAATGGTTCAATATGAACTGTAGTCTCTCCCTCAGCTCTCTCGCGGCTAGCAGACTTCGACTTTGGCATTCAATTCTTGAGCATATCGCCATACTCAAGAATAGAATAGAATACCAACTAAACATTAGTATAAAGTTGCGTTGCTATTCGAGAGAAAACTGGCGAAATTGATGAAGGGTTTGCGATCAAAAAGCCCAGCGAGTAATTTATTCGCCCAGCGCCAAGGCCCACGACAATCTGACTGTCGTATCATATCTCGACATCCCGTTGCGAACTCCTTGCAACTTCTTGCCGTTCTTGCTAATTGAACACTTTCGGGCACAAACATGTGTGCGAGAAAGCGTCATGGAAGTCACTCGCGGGCAATGCATGTCTGGTTCTTCCCTCGTTTCTTTACAGGCACCGAGGGTGGCTTGCCAGGCGCCTGAGCTATTTGCTGTTTGTCACCGAGAGGGACGCTCATAAGGAGCGAGCCCCGAAGAACGTCACGGACCTCGTCTTGAACCACACAAGGTGCTCTGGGGGAAACCTGCATGCCCAGTGCCGGACTGTGTGGGCGGCAGCCTCAAGTAGATCGTCGGGAGCTGTCTCTGGGAGGCTGTCGTGATGCTAGCCGCGCCTCTCCAATGTGGCCAAATAAAGGGCAATGCTAATTGCAGAAAAAAAACAAAGATGGCCTAAAATATTCAAAGTCAGAAACGTATTTGTGCGTATATTTGCAGGTTGGGGTAAGCGACCCTACACTGATTAAATGTAACGAGCAAATGGTAGTGCATGCCTGTAATTCAGAATTGATAACCGATTACATCAACGAGTATCAATCATTGACCCATGTTTGATGGCTTCTCTTGACATTGGCGTAGATCCCATGGATCTGTAAGGTTAGAAGTTGACAGGTCATGTGAATTTGTCAAGTTCCCGAACCGGCGGAGCTGTGAGATGGCTGTTCCGACGGTGAATTTCTGAACCTGCCTGTGCGGCCCCTTGGAGTGTTTTCCCCTTGTCTGCATGATGGATTTTTCCCGGGTACTCCACTTTCCTTCCGCATGCGAAACTCTGGTTAATAATGGAATTGGCCAATCATCCCAATGCCCACACCCTATGCAATCAATATCCCGCATTCCAAGCATGCATATCTGCATGCTTCTTTGCGCACTATTCAGATTTTTATTCTTTTCTCCTGTCAATGTCTACGTTTCTGATTAAATGTATATAATTAAGAATTTGCTGTTATTTTCAGTTGTAGGGACGACCGCCGCCGCCACCGTCTGAGTTGCCTCTGTCTCACGTGCGAATGTTTCCTCTTTTGAAATTCATGGCCCCAGGGTGCGGCAAGCGATCAGCGAGACGTCGGCATGCTCGGATCCCAAGGCAGAGGCGCAGCAGCGCAAGAAGGCACAGGGTGTCCTGAAGCGCATGACTGCCACCGTGTCCCCCGTCATCCTGAGGTGCGTGCGAGTGAGCAGCGCTGAGATCGGAACAGAGAGCTCGATGGGATCCGGATGACCTATACACTTAGAACTAACCCTAAACCTAATCCTAAGTTGAACCTTAAATCTGACCCTCAGCCTTTTTCGAAACTTAAATCTAACCCAAATCTTAAACCTACCCCATATACTAAACCCGAACCTAACCCTACACCTATTGCGAAGTTTAATCTTCATCCTAATTCTAAGGCTAGGCCTAACCCTCGGCGTAAACCTAACACTAGCCGAAGGTCTAAATTCAAAACCTAGCCCTAACCCCCATCACCTTGAGGTGCATTCACTGCCGAGATTGGAATGAGGCAAGCGATGAGAAGCCGAGGCACCTACAGGCACTCTGGGCTATGACCCATGCCTCCCCCTCTCCCTCCTGCTTTTATACAGTGACAGTTTCATGATTTTAAATGTAAATTTGAGACACTCTAACGATGCGGGGCAATTGCTAGCATGACGATGAAAAAGTGGTTTGTGGTATATCCAGTTTCTCCAAATTGTATTAAAACTTTTAGGATTTTTTTATTTTCCAAGTTTTTTTCAAATTGTGCTATGTTTGTCATGAAACAGCTACCAGTGCACGACCTTGTGTCAACGAACTGTCCCAGAAGATGATGTCACACAACTATCTCGGAATTTGTTTTAGTTGGCATTTATCCACACTAGGTGCAGACGTTTTAATGCCCTTCAAAGTTTGATTAATTATCACTGTTACACAATTTTTGTTCCTGGGTAGTAAGTGTTATTTTGTAATTGCTTATTCCTAAAAGTATAGAAAATGGCTATTATTCCCCACAAACTTTTTTTTTGTGACCAGGACAGCGATATTTTGAAATTTACCTATTTTCAATGAGAAAACGGGCGAATTAGTGTCTTGTCGTTCGTATAAAGTCAGAAAAAAACAACATATGAATCAAAACTAACATGTATTTATACTAAAGTAATACAAAAATGACTACAAAAGATTTAGAAGTGAGTAGTTTTTCGAGATTTACGATTATACTGTAAATCACTTTCACGAATCAGCCCATCATGTTCACGTTATACTGTCCTTGGTAGCGGCGTTCAAAGTCCAGTATATCCTGGTGGAAGCGCTCGCCTTGTTCCTCCGAGTACGCTCCCATGTTCTCCTTGAATTTATCAAGATGAGCATTAAGGGTATGAACTTTGAGGGACAATCCTACAGCCCATTGTGCCATAGTTCTTCAGCAGAGTCTCAACCAGCTCCACATAGTTTTCGACCTTGTGATTGCCCAGGAAGCCACGAACCACTGTGACAAAGCTGTCCCAAGCCGCTTTCTCCTTCTAGTGAGCTTCTTGGGGAATTCATTGCACTTCGAGATCTTCTTTATCTGTGGTCCGACGAAGACACCGGCTTTGACCTTTGCCTCAGACAGCTTAGGGAAGAAGTCTTGAAGGTACTTGAAGGCTGCCGACTCCTTATCCTACAACTGTGACAAATTGTTTCATGAGGCCCAATTTGATGTGCGGTGGTGGCATCAGCACCTTCCAGTGGGCTTAAGGCCCCTGTATTTATGCTACTATTTATATTACTGGAAAGTTCTAGAATGTTCTAGAAGTTACTCCAAGTTTACTCAGCACTCAATCTATCTGGAATGTTCTGGAAAATTGGTAAATTTCAAAATATCACTGTCCTGGTCACAAAAGCAAAGTTTCCGGTGAGTAATAGCCATTTTTTGTACTTTTGAGGCTTAAGCAAATAGGAAATAACACTTATTACCCAGAAACAAAAAATAGAACAAAAGAACAATTTGTTACACAGTGTTGTCATATGAAAATCAAACAACAAAAATTATCCAAAGGGCCGATGTCTGTTGTTGGGTTAACCCCTCGACTCTGAAAGCAGTGATTCACCACCCCTCCCACCAGCATGCATCTCTCCATACTACTTTGCACACTTTTCAGATTTTATTCCATTTTAATTCCAGAGCCCACATTTAATCTAGTGGTCTTTTTGTGCAGTCGCTGGTGACAGAGACCTTTGGCTAACTGCACTCAACTGAATCATGGGGGGGGGGGGCGGCTGTATTTGAACCCAGGATCACAGCATTGCCAGCTCAGTTTACTGATATCACATTGGCCCTCTGAGCCACCGAAGCACTGCCAGTTTCTAAAAAATATTTATTTACCCTTCTGTTTGTTGGAATGTCAATAGGGCAACTGTTTATGGCCTTGGTTAGTTTGAACTTCAGCCTCTCGATTCTTTGTTTAATTACAACCTTGGCATCCAGTTCATCATAAATCACAGCCCTTTTGACAAGCCACTGTTAGATGAACGTCTCTACACCCTGTCGGCCATGAAGGTTGTTTGACACTACTTCAGCTTGCTGTGAACAGCAGCATAGTTTGGTAAAAGGACAGGTCCAGAGGGAACTGATGTTCAGAGCAGCCGGGTATCGAACCCAGATCGCCAGTTTCATAGCTCGGTGCACGAACTGCTTCACCCCTACTCTACCCCACTACCCAACGTCAGAGTACAAACAGGCCATTGTCTGCGCATCAAGAAGAGTGTCCGCAATTACAAAGAACCCGTTAAACGATTCTGATAGTCTCAATGATCGTGGGCAGCCCCCGGGGTCTTTTATATTCCCTGATTCTGAACTAAGCAGATGGGTGAAGCTCTCCCGCGTGTGAACAACGTGCGCGTGCAGGCTCGCTGGCTGGGTGCTCCTCCGACTCTTCAACAGCTTCTTCCGCAGCGTGCTGGTGCACCGCGGCCAGCTGGAGATGGTGCGCCAGGCGGCTGCCGAGGTAACCGCTCGCTCGTTCTTTCGCCGCACTCGCTCGCTTGCCAATGCCTCCTTTTCACCCCTCTCAGTTTTGTATCCCGCGGCGCAGCGGGAGAGAGTAGCCTGGGGCAATGCCAACGTCTCTAACAAACACTTAATCCCCCGACGCCACAAAAGAACCTCCCAGTTTCATTTTACCCCGCAAACAGTAGTCTACATTGAAATGCGTCGGAACGTTGCACGGTAGACGCGGACGTCTCCTCCGTGAATGGACAATTAAGAAATGGCCCGCAGAGCAACGCCGGTCACCAAATATCAAACCGTGGACCACCTCGTAATGCCACTGCCCACTTCGGTTGTTCGTTCGACAGCATTTCAGATATTCACCAGGCTGCTCCAGGCTCCCAAATTTGCCAAATACCAAAAACTAAAAATATCACGTTTTTATTTTACCAGGTATGGCCCACTGACCTGGCCACAAATGAGAGCCCGGTGAAGTGGCTTATGTGGATATTTATAGCAGCCAAAATATTACCTGCAAATTACCAAATTGGGTCTATACATATCAATAATCGCTCGCTACTCGCAAACGAATGCCTCATTTCACCCTTGTAAATGAGACTATCCTGGTCCATTGAGTTGTCACCTGGTTAAACAAAAATAAAGTTTAAACTTTTTTCCTGAATCCCTCCTGGTTCACTCTTCAACCTTCGCATGAACACAAACGTGACTAACTGACTTCCCAGCGCGAGGTGCCAATGAGAGGAAGCCACCCTGGAGTTGTTATGACTGTTCCTGACTATATATGCACCTGAGAACGGTACGCTCCCAGAGACTGTACATGCCTGCTACGGTGGCTGGGAGTTCTTGTTGTGGCCGTATTACGGGCACGTCATGATGACTGGACGAAATGTGAAACTTTGATGGGTGTTTTTTTTTCCCCTCGGAAGATAAACAATCGCACAAGCTCCAGCACAAGATAGTGCTGGCTTTGTGTGTTCGTGTGCGTTTGTTGATTTAAGCTTGTTATTAAATAATAATGATGATTATGATCATCCATTCACTGCGGTCTCCGTCGCCATGCAGAGGTACAACGATCCATCTCGCAGCTGACCATGAGCTGAATTCACCATTATGGATGGAAATCATGTTCATCTCAGATTTTGCTGATGATGATCGTGTCTTAGTCATAACTATAAATGATATAAACAATTAATTCTCCAGGATAACTTCATGAATAAGGCTGCAAAGCGAGGCTTAGGCTAAATATAAGCCAAAGCAAAAGTCATGAAATAATTGATCCAGGAAAGCCTCGCTGACGATACAGATGCTGTTTCAGTATGGTCTCGCAACGGCATGCTGTGTGATTAGCTCTATTTGAAGGAATGTATTGCTTTGTACAGAAGGAAACTAGATTACCGAGCGAAAACTCACTACGCAAATGAGGAGATAATACTCCAGACGTTCCTGAACCCACCTTTTTAGGCACTGCTATTTTATTACCACATTGCATCCCCCATGCATGTGTGGTAGTTATCACAGTCCGTGATATCCACCAACTCTTGCCTCTATAGTGCTGAATCACAGTTGTGTGCACCCACAGTTATAAATCGGTGTGGCTCAATTGCCACTGAGAGAGGAGGCGTAAATAAAGTCGGTACCATTTTGTAGTAAATAAACAGTGTTGCCTTGTGCATAGACTGTCCCCCACCATAGTAATGTGGAATTTCCACCACTAGGCTTCAACAGAAGTGTTGGTCGATGTTCATTGTGCGCAGGAAACCACTTTTGTAATCTTGGGAAACAAAACCAAAAATAAAGTAAAACCTCTCCAAGCTGGACTCATCGGGCGTTGCCGGAATGCAAAAGGAATGTTTAGGTTAAAACACTTAATCCGGAACACTTTTCACCAGATAATTAGAGACAAAAAAATATCAAAAACGACAGGTTTCAAGATGTTTTGCCCAAAATACAAAAAAACACTGGTGTCAAGAATAATTCGAAATAATAGGTTATTTGTCTCTTGTGTTTGTTAAACAGCGACGTGTGCCTTTGGTCTTCCTACCCGTGCACAAGTCTCACGTGGATTACCTACTCCTCACCTTCATCCTCTTCTGCCACGACCTGCAGGCGCCCTACATCGTGTCCGGAGACAACCTCAACCTGCCCATCGTCGGGTGGGTGGGGTGGGGTCGGTGGGGTGGGCGAGGTGAAAAATTGCTTTAAAGCTCATCGGATTCCTTCAGTATAAATAAATATTCTGGGTGGGGTGCAGGCGTACGACAATGTCACCAGAAGGGATGATGGCCAGTGGTCTAGATCAATAACGGGATGGCAGCCACAGGAGTGTACTCACCCTGAGGAATTTCACCACGGAGATGAAGCAATGACATGAACTCGTGTGTGGCAGCGAGATGGACTGTGGCGTCGAAGCACTGTGAGAGATGGCAAGGGGGTTAGGGCAGCCTTCGTCCAGCAATGGATCCAACTGTGGCTGATGATAATGATTGTGCTGCGCAAACTTCTGACATTAAAAACAAGACACGCTGGTTTCATTGGGGCTTCCATAAGAGGCTGTGATTGAGTTCCCAAATCAGATTGCACCACGTGCTCAATCACGTTGTGCGGCGGTCCTTCTGTCTCAGGCGTCTCATCCGAAACCTGGGCGGGTTTTTCATCAAGAGGAGGATGGATGAAGAGGCCGGCCGCAAAGACATCCTCTACCGTTCTCTCCTGCACACGGTAGGTCCTCTCTCCTGAAGGCCACAGGAATCAGTCTCACTGCAGAAAACCTTTGTGGCAGTACGGCAACGGATTCTTGAATACGTCGGTGTACAGCTTTGTGTTTTGTCCGACTTGTTTCAGTTTTTTACACCATTGGAACCTCCTTTGCCAGTAGCAGAATATGATTAAAAAAAATTTACCCTTTTATCTGGCAACAAACTGACACCTTTTTACAAGGAGTCATGTTTGCATTGGCCACAATACCTGCGGTCGGAATGCAAACAAAAAACATAACTCACCATGTGAGACTAGGCTCTCAGGAAAGCTGTCTTGGGTGTGGACCAATCAATTTCAAGGACAGTGCATACATTATCAGAGTTATGTTTTTTTGTTTGCATTCCGACAGCAGGTATTGTGGTCAATGCAAACATGACTCCTTGTAAAAGAGATGTCAGTTTGTTGCCAGATAAAAGGGTAAAAAAATAAATTATTATTGTTTCAGTTTTGTTCGTTTTGTTGATTTGTTTATTTGTCTTTTTCCACAATTAAGACATGTTTCTCCAAATTGAAAAAAAAAAATTCCATGTACTCGCCCAGAACCACGGGAACCCTTCGTGTTAGAGAGCGGCCGCAGAAGCGGATCTCGCAGAACTATCTCTGACTCCTTCGTGCGATTTCTTGTACACACAATGAGGCGCCGCATTTCTGCCTTCCCTGATACGGTGAGTAGTGTGGCTCGTCACATGGCAGAGTAAACCTCAGAGGTGGAATTTACCTCCATTACGTTAAGAACCCATTCTAATGCGATGATGTAATTGTGTTCATGGTGTGTAATCATTGATGACAAGGCCGATATCATCTGTTCACAAAGCTTGAGAACCCGGTTCAATCACAGGCGACTGCATGGATTCAAACCCCAGGATCTCTACGCCGCTAGCTCAGTGCCCCGACTTCTGCGCCACCTTGACCACCTCTCGTTCATCACAGCTTGAAGCGGCAGCGACCGTGCGGCTAACGTAACCTCGCAACGTTACGCTGTTCCGCGCCCGTGTGCATTTGTCCGTCCGTTCACCCGTACGTTTCGGGTCATCGTTGCGATTATTTAGATTAATTGGCTACGAAAATTTCCGCGTGATAAGCCGATTCGTGCAGCTATCATTTGTGCCCAGGTCACTTCTAAAAAAGAGAGAAATAGCTCCGTTGACTTCACTTAGTAATTCGTTTTATTTGTCTATTTTTGTTAGTGATTTGCTTACCTTTCCTATACTTTGCACTCCTACCGTGTTTGTACGAGTTGTTACATTCTTGCCCACACCGATTGGACGTCTGTGAAAAAAAAGACCTTCGGGGTTCACCCGGATTCCCCCAGTCGCCTAAATGTAAATTCCGATTCTGACGATTCTGACGCCGGTCGTGTCCCCAGTACGTGGAGGAGCTGGTGCGGCAGGGCCAGTGGCTGGAGGTGTTTGTGGAGGGCACGAGGTCGCGCAGTGGCCGGGCGGGCACGGCGCGCGCCGGGCTGCTCTCCGTGCTGGTGGACGCGGTGAACGAGGGCGCCGTGCCGGACGCGCTCGTCGTGCCCGTCGGCATCGCCTACGACCGCGCCCTCGAGGGCAACTTCAACCGCGAGCAGCTGGTACAAAAGACAAAGTTCCTACCCCCACCGTGTAGCCTTTAACGGACTCGGGGCAAGTGCCGTTAGCGAGCACCAAGGAAGGCCGGTGCGGCACACAAGGAGGGTGGGGGGCCAGCACCACGCCTGGCCGCCTTTGTCTCCCGACTGGCGACGTTTACGCACACCGTGCCACATACTCATTTGAGGCTGAGACGACTCAGGGGAGGCCCAGCACCGGTTCACGGTGTTGGCCGTGAGCGGGAATCGAACGCTCGCATCCGCAGTGCTGGATTGCAGACCACGTGCATAGCCACGGTTTTACACTCAGCTGCACAGAACCATAGCGTCACGGTGGTGTTTGACGTGTGTTTTGTTGTTGTTTCCGTGCCCTCAGGGCCAGCCCAAGAAGAGCGAGAGTTTGCTGGGCATCTTGGGTGGAGCCCTGCGCATGCTGTGGAAGAACTACGGCTACGTGCGCGTGGACTTTGCGCAGCCCTACTCGCTCAAGGTGTGCGGCTCTTGCGGTAATCCAACAGTGGGCACCGCTGTTGGGGCGAGCGAGTCTCACGGTCCACGTCCCAGGATCACTATGCGACGTTTGGAATTGCGTGTGATTCCTTAACGGTACGTGTGCTGGTCATGCCACACTAAAAAAAATGTTTTTTAAGGTCATGGGTAACCAATGGACGCCCTCCGTAACACGTAATGGCATTTCAGTATATTTGTCGTTATCGTTACAATCATCGTGACGCGGCCCGGCGGTGAAGCGCGGTTGTCGCTTGTTGCAGAGGTTCAGCGTTGGAATCCATCGGCCGCCCGAATTAATACTGCGGGTGTATTAACTGTACAAATGCTAATCGCCGTATGCTTCGCAGCGGACGTTCAAGATCCCTTGATGTCACCCGTAAGAGAGTTGGGACATTGTGTAACAGCGTCAAGGGTCCGAATTTTGCCCAAATTGGAAACTATTCCCGCAGATTTACTCCGTTTGAATCGCCACAGCATTTATCCCCTCCCAGCTGTGCATAATTTGGCAGGACCCTTCTGCATAAGAGTCATGAGACTCACTGTGGCTTTCACTGGGTAAACAAACAACGCAAATGTTTTTTACAGCTATAGCATCATTGATAATCGAATTGTAATTGTACCGCTGGATTGATGCATTGTTTTGTGTTGTCCTCTAGGAGTACATGCAGACGATGAACTCGATGGATATCGCTGCATCTCGGCCTCACAAGCTGCTGCCATCCATCCTCAACAACAGGTGCAGTTTATTTACCTAAGCTGTAGTCATGCAAGTATTGCTCACTGGCCAGGTTACCATGTGGCTCTCATACGAGGCACCACGTTGGACAGTCAACTCTGTTATCTGGGGTAGACCGGAGAAAACAAAAAAACACTGATAATGTGAAACGTACGTAAATTAGACTTCATAACCATACTTCAGTTTTCAAGTTCTTTTAGGTTTAACCAGGTGTGAGATCTCAATACCAGGATAGAGTCAATTGCAAGAGTAACCTGGGGCACTTAGTCTGCCAACAGAGGGTGATAGTTGCTCTGTATAAACCCAAACAAGTAATTTGCGGGTACTCTTTGGTTTTTTCGGTGAAGTCACGTAGGTAAAATAAAACGTCGTGATTTAATTTAGTTTTCTTTTATTTTAAATTTTATTTTACCTACGTGACTTTACCGAAAAAAACAAAGAGGTGAATCCTTGCAGTCACGAAAGCTTCAAATCTATAATTAATTTGCGGGTAGTTTTTGAACGTACATTGCAACCTCCGCTGTGTTTCGTTTTGCTCTCTCTCGTTGTTGGACGCAGTTCCTCTGGCGTGCGCGGTTCACCATTTTTAACGTCGCCTCCCCGACGCCCCGATCCGGACGTCAACGCCGTGCACAGAGCGAACGTCGCCAACCTTGCGAGCCACGCCCTCTACAGTGAGTGGGATCCCGCACGCTTGCGAGGAACGCGCACGTACACGCGCGCAAATCCATGTTGTTAATACAACGCTTACCGCCGCACGAGAGCCTCCGTGACGCCGTAATGAGTCGTGCTGCGCATTTCATAAACTGTTTGTGAAAGCGGGGAGCCATCGCGACATTGCCGCTCAGGATAGTACGACAATGGATTCTGCTGGCCTGCCCTCTGCTGCGAAGGTAGGCCTGCAGCAGCAGCCTACAGCGCCTGTTTCTGTGTCCTGGTGGTCCTCTGTCAAAGCACTTATCCAGGCTCCCAAACTGGCGTATCTTCCGAGATGTGGCGGAGATCAAGGTGCATTCTGGGCCATGTGGTCACACGGATTTAAAAGAAGTGTGAATCCCAAACAACACAAATATCTCGTCTTGTCGAAAGGCAACGCGTAAAGAGTTGATGCACGTGCCCAAGTCGTGACATCACACAGTCTGCCTGAATTGTAGACGGTGTGACTCGTAACAGCACTGTGAATCGAGTTATGTTGGTGTTCGTTGCAGGTTGAAGGCCCCCCTTCTCTCGTTTTACCCCCTGTTAAATCGTGTCTCGAGGTGCCTCTTCAAAAGCATGAAACAGATTTGGTTGCATGTGGGATGCTCTATAAATTAAAAGCGTAATGGAATCGTATTGGCAAAGGGGCTTTATTCTGGTTGCTCGCAAGTCCTCCGGCCATGGAATCACTTAGCGGTACTGTACTTGGGAGGAAAAAAATGGAATGTTGTTTTCTCCGGGAGGAAAAACATTGTGACGGCTCTAGTTTGGACCGTACTCTCAAAACAAGTACCCCGGCAAAGCTCGCGCAAGTTTACCGAGCCTTATTAGCCAACAAACTGCTCCAGTTTTGTGTGTAAGCCCATCGTGATTGCCTTAAATCTGCTTACCAGCTTGCGAGATTGGGCAGAAGTTCGTCACAAGAATTAACGTCAACCCCGTGTCCTTGCTCGTGTTATCGTGTGTTCCTTGTCAGCTGCTGTACGATGCTCCGCCATCATGTCCACCAACATCGTGGCGTGCCTGCTCCTGTACAAGCACCGGCAGGTGAGCGAACATTTGCTGGTCCTGTCAACGTTGCGTGTGTGTTTTGCACCAGGCATGTTTTTTTTAATGAACCATTTAAAAAATTACAACGTGGTGTGAAGATGCATCCCTGGAATTACATGGAGAGGAGGGGGGAATGCATGGATTACGCATGCAGGTGAAAATGACAAAATTCCAATGATGTTTTGTTTTAAGCTAGTGGGCTTGGGCAGGGCACGTGATATGGCTCTGGCCGCCGAGACTAAGGGCAGAGTGGCAGCCAAACGAGGGTTGGGATGCACCCAAGAGGATGTCCACTGTGAAGATGAAGCAAGGTGCTAGACAAAGCGAGGTGCATCAGAATCTTTAATTTGACTGGAGGAATCCAATGAGCCATTAAGCTCTCTTTTACAGATGTCCAGTGGGCAGGTCAGCAAGCATGAGAGATGGTGACTGCTTAGGGAGGCCTTTGTCCAGTAGTGGAATGATCATGGCTGACTATTAATTCATTAATACATGTTGTTTAAATTATATTACAAACGCTTAATTTCTTAAATTGAAAATTTGCAGAAATGTATTTCCCCCTAAAGATAGATGAATAATGCCTAATAAATTTTTATTTAAAACTTTCGTGACTGCAGGGATTCGTATTCTTGGTTCTTTCGGTAAAGTCACGTAGAAGGGAAATAATAAAAGAATAAAAATATAAAACAAGAATATAATGCCGAATAAATAGTCCATTTATTTATGCATTCAACCATGGCAGCAGTGTTTTAGTGGTTAGTCCAATGCTTCAGGGCTATTTGCCATTATGCAAGTGAATCTACCACATCGGCTTCCAAAGACAAACGTACGTTGGAAGAAAGCGTGACATCTTTTTTTTGTTCCCACACAAACCAATAAAGGCTGGCACGCACATGAGGAGGTTGGGTTTGCCAACATCATAATCGGCCGCCTTTGTCTCCTGGGATGCCTCTCAGGGCGTGAGCCAGGCCCACCTGGTGGAGGACTTCTCCTGGCTCAAGGAGCTCGTCCTATCGCGCCACTACGACATCGGCTTCTCAGGCCGCTCGGAGGACGCCGTGGCGCATGCCCTGGGCCTGCTGAGCGACGGCGTCATGAGGGCGAGCGAGCCGGGCGCCGGCGCCAGCAGCGCCGAGCGCGATGACGCCGACAGGGACGCGCTGCCCGTCCGCCCGCTGACGCACGTGCCCGCCGTCTTCGAGATGTCCTACTACGCCAGCGGGCTGCTGCCCGTCTTCGGCCCGGAGGCTGTCGTAGGTACGGATCCCACAAACGGGGGACTAAACCCCACTAAGTGGATTGTTACGTGGTACTTTATAGCAGGCGAATACTCTAAACGCATGATAATTCTAAACGTGGAGCGTAAAACCCGAGGACCTGGAGAACAATCCACACGACCACGGGGAGAATATGCAAATGCAAAATAAACTGGCGTCGTGGTCAGGATCAAACCCACGACCTCCTGTATATCGGGCAAGGTAGTTAACATCTCGCCTACCACGGCGGGACACACTCGGACAAACGGAGACACCACGTTCGCAAGCTTAGGCTGTGTACGAGCGCTGCACTTGCGCGCAAACAGCGTTTGACGTTTATGGAAGGTTACCTTGTGAGTGGCTTGTGGTGGCGGGGTGCGACGTGGGGGCGGTGTCAGAGTGAGCTTGCACCGCCGAGTTTCTCGGTTTGATTGCACGAATTCGGGTAGCCAATCGGGGTTAAACAGTTCCCAAATGTTGCACCGCCAGCTGGTCTGCTACTTTAACTCCAGCTTTGGCGGTGAACGGTGGAACGAACTCATCAGCATGAAGAGGCGATCGTAATGTTTTTAGTGAGAAATGACCATTCGCAAAAGCATTAACAGCTCTTATACAATAGTCCTTTATACGAAGAAAGATGACCCGATAACAATGGAAACGCCCCCTCCCACCATCCCTTAAATGTGAGAGTAAAGCAACAAAGCACAACAAATCCAATCATCCTTATTGTCCCGCTACCCTGCCCCACCTTGCCACCCCACCCACCCGGGCTGCTGCTCACTCGGAGCGCAGGTGAGAGCGATGGCCTCAACGCCCCAATTCATCGTCACGCCTGATGGCGAGCCGGAGACACCCACAAAACACGCAGCTCCGCGGGGAGGGGGCTCCAGAGGCCTTGCTCCTCGACGTAGTGCCACCCCGAAAGGTGCCCCACCATCTCTTCAAGTTACTTGATCCAGGGCTCCCCGTGCAACGACTCCCCCCTCCCCCCCCCTTTAAGATGGCAGTGGGGCGTGTGCGCGCGAGTGCACGTGCGGTAGCGTGGGTGGTCGGTGCACTGCGCCACGACCTTGACATCCCAAGTTCCAATCCTGGCCACAGCTAACATCAATGGTGGTATCTGCACCAGTCCAGAGCCTTCTGTAGGTCAACTCGGCCGTAAATTAGTACTTAGTTCAGTGTCTCAAACATCAGCACTTGGGGAGACGAAGGTGGTTGGGCGTGGTGCTGTGACCACACCATCCTCTTGTGCACCGCGCTATCCTTTGACACCGCACCTGTCTACGTACGATAGGCCCTCGCTAAAAACACGTTTCCCCATCGTTTTGCCGAGGCTATACCTGTGGTTGCGGGGGGGATTGTTGCGTGCAGCGTGCGCTGTGAACGCCGCGGCCCAGCTGAGGCTGGCGGACGTGGCAATGGGCCACGCGCCGAGCGAGGTGAGCATGGACCACGGCGCCCTGCTGCTCAAGACCACGCAGCTCTCCTCGCTGCTGCTGCTCGAGCTCAACCTCTTGCCGGTAGGATGATCGTAGTGGTGGCGGCGACGTATGGGGAGCGTCAGCGGCGTATTGGGATCGATGGCATATGGGGGACGGTGTTGGTGGGGAACGGTAGTGTAGCGGTTAGCGTGCTGCGCTACGAGCCTGACGACCCGAGTTCGACTCCCGCTCACGGCCAACACCAGTGACGATTATCTGAACCTGTCCTGGGCCTCCCCTAGGTCGACTAAGCCTCAAATGAGTACCTGGTGTGGTGCTTAACAACATTGCCACTACGGAGACGAAGGCGGTTAGGCGTGGTGCTGGCCACCCACTCCCGTGTGTGCTGTTCTGGCCTTCATAGGTGCTCGCTAACAGAACCTGCCCCAACAGTCTGCTAACGCTATATGGAGGATCTTTGTCTCTGGTAGAGTTATTAGAGGCGGTGCTGAAGGTGGTGGAATTTGTTTAAAACGTGGTTTTGCAATTTGTGAAGGTGACGGAGGTTGTTAAAGCATCGGTGGTGGTGAAATGTCGTGGATTTGGTTGTGACAGTGATGGAATTTGTGAAGGTTGTGGAGGTTGTACAGGTGGTGGATTTCGGTTGCGAAAAGGTGATGGTTTAAAAGGTGATGGTGGGGGTTTTGAAGGAGGTGGCTGTGCTAGGTGAAGTTAGCGGAAAGTGAACATTTGTATTCATAATTTTAAATGGCATTTCTCATTTAATGTTCATTAAACCATCTTTTCCAGCCCTGCCACACTCTGGAGCAGACTTGCTTCGAGACCGTTCAGAAGTTTATTGACCGCGGGAAGTTCACGTGTACCGAGGTGGGTCCTGCCCAGCTCCTCCTCGCTGTACCCGCGCTCCAACAAACCCCTCCGTTACCTGTGAACCTCATGTGTGGGCTACTGTGGTGCGGGAGGAGCTGCCACAAAGACTACAATATCATAGCCAACTCGGAACTTTAAAACTCCACCTACAAAGTAAATTTCAAAAGCTTATCGGAAAAGAAATCAGAGACAACACCAGTAAGTTTTGTTTGGAACAAATTAAAGTTCTGTTTAAAAACCTTTATTTAAAACATTTCAAAGATTAATTTGCGAGATTTCATTTCAGTACAATTTTCCAGCCTTCATAGGTGGCCTTCGCTAACAGCGCTTGCCCCAAACGAGCTCGTTAAAGCCAATGGGGGGGATCTTTGTTGTGCGCCAATATGTGCGTGCGCGTGCGTGCGTGCCTCGTCGCAGGACGACGAGGACGAGGTGGCAGGCAAGCAGACGAAGCGGTGCCACCGTGCGTCGGGACGCATGTCACCCACGCTGGCGCCGTGGAGCGACCAGGGCAGCGACAGCCTCGGCGAGGAGGGCGCCGTGTGCGGCCGCCAGCTCAAGGTGCAAGAACGCTGTCAACGCAGCACCCTCCTACAGCAGTGGTTCTCAATTATTGTTTGGCTTCTGTACTTTCGTTGAATTTTGTTTCAACCAAGTACTCCCTTCCATAATTTAGTTTTTTTGGGGGGGGGGCATTAGATCGCGTAAATATAATAATGTGTCGTTAAACCCGCCACCACCCGACACAGCCAATTAGTAAGGTTTGTCACGTAAACAGAGCATGCCAATTCGTTATTAATACAGCACACCGGTGTGTGGGAGAACAAATCCACAAGTAATGAATTGGAACGTTATTTTAACACGTAGGCTTTCGCGACCAATATTATTCATAATAACGGTTTTTGGGTTAGATCGCGTTTATTTATAAATGTGTCGCAACCCTCCACCACCCGACACGGCCAATCAGCAAAAAAGTGTCACGTTGACAAAAGACAAATAATTCACTACTTTAGCCCACCGGTGTGTTGAAGAGTGAATCCACATTTACAGTTTGAGTACGACGTTTCGCTGGTAAGTACTTCCAGCATCATCGGGCAATTCGTCGTACTCAAACTGTAAATGTGGATTCACTCTTCAACACACCGGTGGGCTAAAGTAGTGAATTATTTGTCTTTTGTCAACGTGACACTTTTTTGCTGATTGGCCGTGTCGGGTGGTGGAGGGTTACGACACATTTATAAATAAACGCAATCTAACCCAAAAACCGTTATTATGAATTGGAACGTTATGTTTACGTGACAAACCTTACTAAATGGCTGTCGGGTGGTGACGGGTTTAACGACACATTTATGTTTATGCGATCTAACCTAGAAAAACCCCTCAATTAGGAATGATATTGGTCGTGAAAGCATACGTGTTAGAGTACACCCTTGTTTGACCCAACATGGTTCTGAGATTAATTTACGTATGAGATCTGATGACAATAATGAGCATCGATATTTTAACCAATTGGACATTTTGTGAGGTATCCTAACTAACTGCACACGAATAAAAACTAAATTCAGCGGACGCTCTGCATGCACGAAGTAATTTGTTCGCACTCGCTGGTTACTCTTGGAAACCCACTGAGTTTAGAAAGGTCTTTTATATCATTCTGGGTCGCCATATGGATTCAAATTTCACCGTAGCTATTTTATATTGGCAGATTCATACATGATCATTCACCAGTGACTCATGTTTGATATAATTTTACACATTTATAAATCACCTCACGTACCCCCATGGACATTGCCACGTATCCCCAGGGGTCCGCGTACCCCCTAGGTTGAGAACCACTGCCCAACAAGACGCTGAAGAGGGACACACCCAGCAAGTTGAATATTGAAACGATTATCGTGAGAATGATTGTAACTAGCCCACACCGCACTGACCAGTGTGCTGAAGTATGGTCCAAACAAACCTATGACTGACACGGAATTATAAATGGTGTTAATTGGCACTGTGCTCAATGCGCTTGTTGACTATTACGCACGTGTCTGTATTGAAGGTTTCCCAGAATTCGGGACAGAACCGCACGCTCTGTGTACGCTGTTGTATTGCCCGTCTCGAAGTTGCTCTCCCCTTCACGTGACGGCTCAGCATCAGGTTTCAACTCACGGCCTCGGCTAACATCGCTGACAAATGTGAAACTGGTCCCGAGTCTCCGCAAGATTGACTGCCTTAATTGAGTACCAAATGCAGTGTGTAAATACGGGCTACTGCCAAGACAAACTGATGCCGGGCATAGCTCTGGCCACACCACCGCCTCGTACCACCATGGTGGCCTTAATAGGTGCTCGTTCAAAGCACTTGCCCCAACAGCAAATGTAGGCTAAACGGAGAATCTTTGTCTTTGCAGCTTCTGGTGCCGTCGGAGACGCTCGACTGGATGATTTTCTTGCAGCGCATCCTTGGCCCTGTCATCGAGGCCTACAGCTCGGTGGCCATTTTCCTGCACGGCCTGACGGAGCCGCTACCCGGTATTGTTGTCTTCATAATCCCTCACTGTGCTGATTTGACCATCGTCATCATCGGCACCAGTCCATTCCATCCGTCATCAACAAATACAACTTGCTGTTATATAGATTTATATAACGCCTTAGTCCAAGGCACTTTACAATAATTTTAACATCGTACATGAAGATAGTGGTTAGAATAAAGAGTGGGTGAATAAAAAGTGGTGGTGTATTTATGGTAACAGGAGGACAACTGGGAGTGGTTAAGGAATGGGTAGGCCTGGTCCTAGCTTGCGGGCAGAGAGTAGCAGTAGGATGGGCAAGGGAGAAAAGAGGGGTTGTCGTAAGAGGGGGATGGAAGCAGGTGAGTGAAGATGATTTGTTTCATGTGCAGTGGGAGGTTTGTTCCAGTGAAGGGGAGCAACAAGGGATTGGCACCTCGCTGTCGGGGAACACCAGTCGTGCTTTTGGGAAATATCTTTCGTCACCACTTGGGGTCTCTTGCGATCTGCACAGTCTCTGCCGCCGGGGGATCTCCCTGTTCAAAACACTGCATTCATCGTCCAGCTGTTCATTTGAAACAGTTTACCAAGTACCCTGATCTTACTGAATTTTTTTCCTCCGCTGCCGGTATCTCTCATGACGGCTGCCGATGCCGATAATAATTTACACTTTGCGCCTTTCACCCAGGTGTCACAAAGCCCTGTAACAAAACACATGCACACACATGCAGGCCTCGCACCCCACCAACAAAATATTTTCTTTGGCTCCTGTTCCGTGTGTTCGCCAGAGAGCGAGCTCATGAAGAAGGCTCACCGCCACCTCCTGGACCGCACCGAGCGGCACGTGGCCGGGTTCGGTGAGTCTCCGTCCCTCGGCACGGTTTTGTTGTCGGCGAGGATTTCCGTTCACCGTGAGCGTGCGTCCCCGACTCGCGTAACGCCCTCCCCCCCCACCCCATGTCGTTGCGTTTCAGATGAGAGCGCAACCATGAGTTTGGCAAGGAATGCCGTGACCACGTTCAAGGAGATCGGAGTAAGTGCTTGCTGATTACATTGTGTGCCTACATACACGGGGGCATGGGAGGAGTCGGCAACCAAAAATAACAATAAAGAGACATTTTTTTCGAATTCGGTAAAAAAAACGACTATCAAGAGCCGCAACGCATGTGTGAATTACGAAACGGTGATCCTTAATGAATAACGTCACGAAGCAGTCCTTAAAGAGCCGCAGGTTACCGACCCCTTTGCATACATCCATGGCCTTTATGTCAATCCAGTGTTACATCGGGGCCTCCTGGTAACGCATTGTGACGTAAAGACGTTAGAACGCGTTCCTGGAAATCACTGTCGTCGTAATTCGGATCGCCGTTAATCGGTGCCCTATTTTCCCCCAGGCAGCAAAAACAGTGGAAACATTGCTGGCCGATGTGCTTTTCCTGTTTATCAGCCACATTTAAGAGGATTTTATAGGTACCAAAGAAATCCACAAAAACACCCGAGAGTAACAAAAATCTTCGCAAAGTCGCTTCGAAAGCCAGACGACTCGGTCGTAAATCGAGTTCCTGCGTCGCAAATCGATACGTGATGGCATCGTTTAAATGTCGTAAATGTGGATCGGTCTTTCGTAAAACCGGAACGCCCGCCTGTACAGTTGTACAGTACAGCAATTGCTTTGTCTGCAGTGCCTTCTACTGACCACCACAGCGCCCCATGACCACCTCTATGTCTGTGGTTGTCGTCATCCAAGCACTGTCTCGGCTCTAACCTTGCTTTAGCTGTCGAGATCTGATCACATCAGCTCATTCGAGGTGATTTGGTCATAAGCTCTGATTAAACTGTAACGTGTTACACACTCGGCAGGCTGCAGTCTACACCCCTCCCCGGTGATTTTTTGTAAATTGAACGGCGCCCTGGAAAAAGTTAATAACCAAGATTTTTACTAATAGCACATGATGGCTTCCTTGGAACACTCCTCCGCCTCTGATCTCTGCACCTGATTGGGTTCCGTGATGACGTCGTCCTGCTGCTCTATTTAAGACCGGAAGCAGGTGGATTGCTTCACTATCCTGGCAAATCGCCCGATGATGCTGGATGTAAATACCAGCGAAACGTTGTACTCAAATTGTTAATTTCGTGGATTTACTCTCCAACACACCGGTGGGCTGAAGTAGTGACTAATTGGCGTTTGTTTACGTGAGAAATGCCTTACTAATGGGCTGTGTTGGGTGGTGGAGGGTTACGACGCGCAATCTCACCCAAAAACCTTTATTATGAATAATATTGGTCGCGAAAGCCTACGTGTTAAACTTCCTTGGAACACTGCAATCCGCGAGTGTACCGTCTACCTGCAGAGGGCCGCACAATGAACTTTACTGGTTCGCTACAGCTTCTTAGTCCACGTAATTTGTCCGTCAACAAAAAGCCTGCTTTCTGATGTTGATGCTTGTTAAGTTCCTTTCCCATAACACCCCTTTGTCACAATTGAGCTTGAAATACAAGAATCGTATTTCTTCAATTGCAATTTTACTAAAAAAAATTGTCCATTTATTCTACGTCTCTGGTTGTGATGGCTTCATGCAGTTAAACACAACATTGGCATGTAATTTCCATACAATTTGCATCGCCTCTCTTTGACCCACGCGTGTGATTTGACGCACGCATTGCGAGCTCAGGAATCGCTCGTCATCCGACGCGTCGTTTACATTGGTACCAAATAAGTACGCGTCAGTCTTTTACATTTTTAAGCCGCACAATTGAAATGCTGCTGCGACACGCCTAATCATTTTATATTTCGCTCTGCGACAATCACGAACCAGGTGCTCGCCGAGGTGCAGGAGGAGAGCCGGACGTTGCTGAACGTGGCCGAGGGAGTGCGCGCGGGAGCCGGCATGCAGAGGCTGGCCGAGTTCGTGCTGCAGTTCACGCCATGACGGCGCTCGTCAAAGCCCGGCCCCGTTGAGCCAAGCGCCATCGTCTTCTACCGCGCTCCGTCCTCCGCCGCGTCGCCGGCGCGGACACGTTCCGCGCCGGCGACGCTAGCGGCCCCCATCCACCTCCCCGACCCCCACTTCCGACGGAGCGACGGTCGATCGCTCGCTGCCGCTTTGGTGTTGCGAGCTGTGGCCACGGACGCGTACGCCGCCGCTCGTCTGCCTTTAATAACAAAAAAAATAATAATGATAATTCAGGAGAGAAGGCCACCTTGAGCAGTGAGGGTGGGGGGGCGGGGTGGTCGAGGTTGTGGAAATATATATATAACACCTTGGTCAAAACAGGCAAGCTCTCGATTTCAGTTGCTGCCGGCTGCGGTTTCCGAGCGACGGGTGTCTCAGACCAGGTTCCAAGTTTCCGTCGGCGGTATTTGGGTAAATGCAGAAGTGCTTTAATTGGTATGCGTTTGCACATCTTCGGCCGTTTTTTTGTTTTTTTTGATAGTGGCTTCCAGACGTGTATATGCAATACGCTGTCAAAAGATACAATTTGCACTGCTCAGCCACGCACGCACAGCAACCGATGCACGGACATATCGATCCAGCCCACCCTGGCAATTGTGCCTCTCCTTCAAAAGCCATTCAACCAGTTGCAGACAACTTGCCATTACCAACACTGTGTCGGGTACGATCGGGGCTTAATTTCTCGCCAAATATTTTTTTTCAAGGTTGTCGGTAAATGGGGAGCACAGGCCTGGAGACAGAGAGACGGGGGACCATTGTCGAGGTGTGACCGACTGGATTAGGAAGTCAGTTGCACATGCTTTGTGTGGTCAAGCACAACTGTGACTTGTCGCCATAAGTAAGCGTCGTGCATGCTTGACGTGATGTGCCGGGCGCAGAAAAAATTTTTTTCGCATCGCCAACCTGGACCGACCTTGTCTGAAATGAAGCCCAGCGTATGACGTGAGTTGGTGGGTTTTGGGTTGTGAGATAGGAAGGCAAGGTTGTTGGTCAGATGATGTCTGGGTGGCCAGGTTCCTCTGTCACATCACTTGGTTCAGCAGTAGCACATGCGTGCCGAACTTTCCCATCGCTGCACAGGGCATCTCATGGGAACTGCCGCTCACTTAATCCATAGAATGCCTTCTATTTGAATCGACACAGCTATTAAAACAAATCTGCACAGTATTGCAAAGCAATGCACTTTGTGCTGTATGGTGTGATCGTGTCGTCTCATTGGAGACGAACACAAACTTGCTTTATGGCGCGTGTCAAAAAATGCGATCCAAGGATCACCAACGCGTTTTCAAGACGACGGGGGATTAAGTTGGTGTGTACTGTCTTTTGCGTTTAACAGCACATTCTTATTTAGTGATAATTATAACTTTTAATGTTTACAAGTTTTTATTTCTAAAAACACTAAGTTGTGATCAATAACCACTTTTGTGTTGAAGCTGCTGCTAAAACTGCCTGGGTTGTTGGTGCTTGCTCTGTGACACGATGGCCTTGTCATTTCTGTGACGTGACTACGAGAAATTGCGTTTGATGCATGCGACAGAATAGCATGCTCTGCGAAAATAATATGTAACACTGAGCCCTAACCATAGCATTATAAGTTACAATTATTAACGATACTAACTAATTGAAAAATAATCCTCGTAAACCAATAACCAAGTAGGTGTGAATACGAAGTTAATATTTTTTTGTTTCCTTGTAGGGGAAACAATTGTAGAATTTCAAGAAAAAAATGTCACTTACAAACAGTGCTTGATGTGTTGTTTGTTTGTATGTATGTATGTTGAACTTCTTTCGCACCGTACGTAGCCAAACGTGTTCATCGGAGGTGCGGGCGAAGGACAACAAACTAAACACGAAAAACAGTTCTCAAGAAGGCAGTTTCCAATCTCGATTTAAAAGAGTGCATAGCTCCAGTGGCTTCCTAATATCGGAAGTAAGAGTTGTTGAGCAGCTCGTGTAAGATCAGAACAACGCTGCCTTAAAACGGTGTAAACGTGCACGTGGTGCTGAAAGAGGTCTCATTTCTCCAGGGCTTTTAAGAGAACCCCGTTCCTTAGTCACGTTGATGTCTCAATGTGATTTCTTGTTCTTGGAATTTGGTTTATTTTGATCGATCACACGAGGAAAAGCGAGTGGCCAAGTGTGAACTTGATCGTTGAGCAATAAAGTCAACTACTTTTTTTTTACTTTTTATTTTACCAGCTAAGGCCCACTGAGCTCTTTAACTATTTTTTTTCCAGTAGCAACCTGGCCACAACTAATAGCTCAACGAAGTGGCTTATTGTGTGGTAATTTATAGTGACAAAAATGCTTTAAATGCGTAATGTTGATTCTAAATGTGGGGAGAAAAACCGAAGGGCCTGGAGAAAAATCCACGTGACCACGGCGAGAACATGCAAAACTCGTGCAATCCAGGCGAGGTAGTTAACTTCTCACCACCTTGGCCACAGTGTGAAGCCACGAGACACGTCCTGCTACTGATAAGTGGATCAATATCGTGGTCCACATTCTTGCCACCCTTCGTATCCAGGAATGCTCATTAATGTTTGCAACATATGATAAAGGATCTTATAATTGTCTATGAATGTTAGAAAGTTAAGGTCATGTCTACACCCTTTTGTGTAAATATAAAACGTACATTTTGTGGCACGTTTTTGAAGTTTATTGTATAAAGTGCACGTTTTTTTGTGTTGCAGTGTTTCAAATGAGGACGTTTTATTAAGGGCAGTAATCATCTGCATAATACTCCCCGCTTTAAACGTTGTCCTTTTATTTTTGATTGTCTCAAATATGAGCCTGAGTGTGTACGTCACCTTCCATGTGCATTTTAAAGAATGAGACACCCAACTTAACTACTTCTAATGTGCTACTTGTAAAAGCCACTGGACAGTTACGCTGCAAGCTCCTGTGCTGGGTTTAACCCAGGTGTATCTCTGCGGCCGTGACACGAATTCATATCTTTGTCCACTTGGTGTGGCGATGGATTTTTTTTTTTAATCGAGTGGGGAATGATATAAAGTAGATTTTTTTTTGAGAGTCGACGTAGATGAATCTTTCCGAGTTGGTTTCAGATTCTTTCGCAAGATGTGAATATAAGGGGTCCATTTGTAGGGGGAAAAAAAGCAATGATGTTTTTTTTTTAATGTACGTTTAACTGAAATGCGTGCATTTTTGTGTAAATGTATAGTCGATGGCGCACAACTGTATGATGTACGACTTGAATACAACAACGTTGGTAGTTACAGCAGGCTCGCCTTGCATCGGGAATTAACTAATTTGGTTTGTTCGACTTGTAGTCACAAACTCGCGTGCGGTGTCATCGACTGGCTGATGCCCTAAAACCAATTCTCTTGAAGTTTGCCGACAGAAATAAGCAATGGCAATTGCAGTACTGAACTCGTTCACATGCCTGCTTTTGCGTTTGATAACATACTATACAACTATCAATACAAATAAAGGGCTTGCAGATTCGTAATAAAAAACACATGTTAGTCAAGTCTCGTCCGTGGATGTGTGCGAATGCCATCGCTGTCCGAATTGTTAATGTTTAACAGTGACGGACATCCAGCCGCATAGACGTGACGACAAATTTCATCATCGTAAGCCGTGATCGATCCACATCTGGATGAAGGGGGCCTCCCTTCGCCACCCTCGTACGTACGGTCCTGCTATGTGACGATCCAAATAGTACCTGCACAGGGGCCGATTTTGTCGCTCTCTCCGGGGCGGATGTAACCTTGGGCACGATCGCTCCTTTGGCTGCCACTACATCGGTAGTCGTGACCACCAGCCATCCCTTCTACCGACTCAACTTGCCCTGCCCGAGCCCATTTTTCTTAACGGTCATCCTCGCAGCAGCGGCTTTTGGCGAGCCATCGAACAAACGCGGTTACTTCATTGGGCACTTTCAGATGCGCTTCTGCTGTCGTCTGGAACGCTCTTCCGATATTAGGAAGCCACTGGAGCTATGCACGATTAAATCTAGATTTAAAACTAAATTATTTTTAGAACTGCTTTTTGGTGTTTAGTTTGTCCTTCCCCCACACCTCTGATTAGCACGGTTGGCTACGTACGGTGCAAAAGAATTTCAACATCTGTGTGAACTTCCAAGCACGCATCACCATGCGTCATGCACACTGGTTAATTTACGTGAAATATTTACGTGAGAAACCCGCACGGAGTCTTGTGATTTCTTTGAGCAAGTTGAAAAATTAGCTGAGCTTGGTGGCAACCTGCCGTGATCCAGCATACTGAAGGTAAGGTTTGGTGGATCACATGCAGATTTGAGTAACTCCCAAACCGGCTTTGCAGAAAGGTGGTTAGCATTGCATCATGTGGGTTCGTGAGCCCATCTGATATACCCCCTCCCCCGTGGGTACTGTAAATAACTCGTTAAGAATACATTGGGGAAATTTTTCAATGCAATATGAGCAGTGTATGGTAGTGCAGCGATATTCTTGAACAAGGTTAAATTAAACTGTGAGCATAGACCAGATTTTCACTTTCTTCCGAGATGACATTAGTTGAGCGTTTCCAATGTCCGTATGCGGCCAATAACAGTGAATTATGTCAACTCCGTTTGAAATGAGTGGGGTTCTCAATCACTAATTCGCCGTATAAAGCGGCACTACTAAAGTTTAATACGCCTTAGTTGCTACCGATGTCTGCTCTGGCCCATGGTCAAAATGTACTCGCGCATGGAAAACGAGCACACTGAGAAATGTCTGGCTGAGGCAGTGGGTGGCGGTATTGCTTCGTGCCTTACGGTAAGTGTACAGGAGCCGGCAAGCGCCACATCTCGGAAGCCAAGCGGATTTGAGCCTGCATAGCGCTCGAATGGGCGGGCAGTGTTGCATATGGGCAGTGCAACAAAATCCACCGCTGGATAGTACCGCTACCCTGCCCCGTCTGTGCTCCCCGTTATTACCAAACTCGCACAGAACCACCCTGGTGAAGTACGACTCGCACGTACGGTGGCGTCACCACGGCGCGCAGTCCTCACGATGAACCCACGTGTCGAAACGAGTGTCGGGAGCAGGTGTCGTCAACCTGCGGCTCTTTCAACGACTGCCTCCTGACGCCGTTTGTGAAGGACACGCCGTCTCGTACTCGCATGGCACTGCGAGTCTTGAAATATTGAGCGTTTACCGAATGTTTCGTTATTTTAGTTGCTGACCCCCTGCTCTAAACGATACTTGCATAGCCATATTTGTCAGTACGAATACTGACGGGAGGGCGGATGGTGGTGGGGGGGGGCTACGTGGATATACATCGAAGATATGCCTGAACGTTCAAACGCGACTGTGCTTTGTGGTGGGAGAGACACCGTGAGCAGTTGGCGTAATTGCCACGTGTTCGGTTCACAACGGAGCGCTCGTATAAAGTATGTCCTCGTGGCGATGTTAATTGACGTTGCGACGCACCCGTCAGCATCATCGAGACCCTGCCTTACATCTCACAAAGACGGGAGCTGTTCAATAAAACCTCGTGGGTGGTGGGGGGTGGGGCGTGCCCAGAATACTTGCTCCCACGTGGCGAGTTAATGTTATTGATGTTACTGTTGTTATTACTGCTGCTGCGGCGCAATAATAATGGAACGAATGAGTGGCGAGAATGAATCTGGGATGAGAAAAATGCGAGTCCCAGCGGGGAGAATCCGTGCCGATGACTATATATACCGCGGGCATTCCGCCAGCCGCGCACGTGAGTTGTGACCTCCATATCTGGCACAAAGGGACGAGTTGTACTGTTGGGGGAGGGAGGGTCTGGTGTGGGGGGCGTTGTATTATTTGGGTCTTTCAGTAAAGTCGCGTAGATAGTCCCTGGTTGCTGGGAGTTGGTGGTTTTGTGCAGTGTATTGGATGTTGCTGCTGGGTACTTTCACACTGGGGTATTGGTGTCAATCACTGGGTAGTTGAGTTTTCGGTTATTGAGTGTGTTTTACGTGCTGGGTACTGGGAGTTGGAGCTGAGTGAACTGGGTGGTTGTGTTGCTGGGTGTTGGATGTGTGCAGGGTGCTCTCGGTGTGTATATGTGTGTATGTGTGTATATGTGTGTGTATATATGTGTGTGTGTATGCGTTAGACGCCACTTGGTATTTGTACCATGTGCTGGGCACTGGGTACCGCGTACTTGAGGATTGGTGCTCGGTGCTGTACGTGTGCTGGGGTGCTGTGTGCTGGGCGTTATACTTGCACGTGGTGCTATGTGTGTGTTCGAATCCACTGGGTATTTGTACAATGTCCTGGGCACTGCTACCACATGCCGGGTGTCTGTGTGTGTGTGTGTGTTCCATATATGCAGGGTGCTGCGGACGTACGTATGTATGTAATGGGTTAGAACGGCACTGTGTGTGTGTGTGTTGGGGTGAATGCACGCAGCAGCAACAGCTGTTGGGTAGTCGCCCACACCACAACTGCTCCCAGGGAACAATGCGGCTCTGTCCAGCAGTGGGCCAGGTGCGCGTTTGTTGGTGCGGACGAGCTCAAGTGTCGATTTCGAGTCGCTATCGACACTTGCGTCGCTAGCGACTGCGCGACGGTTATCGTCATCGCACCCTGACATTTGTAATAACAAAATCACTGTGTAAAGGTAAGCTTCTTGATTGGAATTGTTTTACGGTTATCATTATTACTATTGGATACGATGGCATTATATACTCAAGTTTGCTGAATTTTTTTTTTTTTAGAAAGGGCCCATGGGGTGTACAGTACTTTCAAAAGACACACCGCGTATTGTTAATCGTGACACAAGCGTATCTGCAATTGCTTAATAATTCGGAGAGTTCCCTTATCAATTCATACCCTTTTACCCAGGAAAGATGAGTCTCAAGACACATTTTTAGGAGGGTCCCCCGCTTTTGGGATGTTTTGGCCGATTTGGCATGCATTTGGTAAATTGGCTTCGTGTTGGAGGAAATCGCAGACCTGTGCCGGTTTACCTCGTACAACTGAAGACGACCTCACCCGACATTGACTCTGAACAAAGCATTCACCTGCGTCTCGTCTTCAGCCGTCCTCGATCCGAGGGTTGACCGCACCATGGGCACATCCTTCACCACTGACTTCTGTCTTTGCCATCCTCATTGTCTGTTCCAGCGTAGGACCTCGTCCATGCTCTGATGTTATCCATCCGTGTCTAACCCTGGTCTTCCTCGCGCGCGTGAACCGGGTATTGTGCCATTCACAATCTGCTTTTCCAAATAACTTAAATCTTTCGCATGCCATGACCAATGCGGGCTAGCTTTCTTGATTGCATCGCCTCTTACAGTTGACCTGCCTTGGATCAATTTCTTCACCATCGTAAGTACTGCGATAACAATGCGATTACGAGTAATTGACCTTGCTAGCATTACGCGTCCGCGGGGTTCTTATCAATCTGCTATGCTCAGTTCCGCCGCCAGAGGTCACCGCAGACGGACAGATGGAGACGAGCAGGGTCCGAGTTGATCCACGCTGAACAGCTACACCCGCAGTGATATACAATAGACTCGGCAGTGATCAACTACACCCGCAGTGATCGACAATAGACTCCGCAGTGATCGACAATAGACTCGGCAGTGATCAACTATTCCCGCAGTGATCGACAATAGACTCCGCAGTGATCAACTACCCCAGAAGTGATCGACAATAGACTCCGCAGTGATCAGCTACCCCCGCAGTGATCGACAATAGACTCCGCAGTGAACATCGACTCCCCAGTGAGCATTGGCTCCACGTTCGCCTTTCAGAACAATTGTAATCGTTCACCATTCGTCGTCCTCGTGATTATTGGGCCTCACAATCGTGAGTGCAGCAAACCTCAAAAAGACAGATCTCCCGTTATTGCCTTAAGAGACTGTAGGGGCAAGTGCGGTTAGCGAGTTGAGCACAACAGCCGCAATGACACACGTGCGATGGTGATACACGTGCGATGGTGATACACGTGCGATGGTGACACACGTGCGATGGTGATACACGTGCGATGGTGATACACGTGTGATGGTGACACACGTGCGATGGTGATACACGTGTGATGGTGACACACGTGCGATCGTGATACACGTGCGATGGTGACACACGTGCGATCGTGATACACGTGCGATGGTGACACACGTGCGATCGTGATACACGTGCGATGGTGACACGCGCGATCGTGATACACGTGCGCGGTTGTTCGCGCACACCGCGCTATAAACCTGCCCCATTGCTGGGTTCGATTCCTGGCAAAGGCTAATTTTAGGTGATATCCGAACCGGTCTTGGGTCTCCCTTTAATATCCCGCATTGACCAGGCTGGTGAAGTATGGACCAACCGATTCCCGTGATCGACACAGCGCGGGGAGGCAGCAATACAGCATTGTATTGATACAGGCTGAAAATGTCTGATTTTATACAACTAAATGAAATATATTTCAGTCCCTTAAAAAAAAAAACATAATTAAGTATTTACCACGTCGACGGATCTCGACGATTGAATATATCTCACTTGACGTCTCCGTTCTGAACAATTTA